AAAATTTGGTTCTCGTTGTTTTTACTCTCCTTTTTTGCTCAATACTTTTCCTAATTTTGTCCTTTTTTTATTCAGTCGCCTCGAAATTTGTACCAGTGCCAGATGGCCAAACAAAGTATCGCCTTCTCTAGTTACTCTTATATGTATCGATCGGATCCAAAGTTCTACCGTCTGCTCACTCCACAATCTCCCCTAGTTCGAACCAAAAGCTACGTTGACTTTGATGTTGATCACTATCCAGTAGGATTCAATGCCATCGTTGCTGTCATTTCCTACACCGTAAATACTCTTGTCTCTCTCCCCTTCTCTCTCCCAATATGAAGTCAATATTTCACGATTGCATCTTCTTCTTTAGTGCTATGATATGGAAGACGCTATGGTTATCAACAAGGCTTCATACGACCGAGGTATCGCAGACGCTTGTATCTACAGGACAGAAATAATCGATTTGCGCCAATATTCACTTAAAAATAGTCGTGTGAAGGAGGCTGAACACTACTTCGGTGCACTAATTACTTCTTTTGATGTGTTATTTTGAGTTTCGTATTTGACTTCTAATTTGCTCTTGTTGTTTTATTATAAAGGAGGTGATGCGAAAGATCTTCCACCGGATATCGATATTGACGGATTGCCACGAATTGGAGCTAAATTAATTCCAGGAAAGAGTACTTTCTACGCCTATACTCACAAGGAAACTAAAAAGACCACGGCCGTTGTCTATAAGGACCATCTTGGTTATGTGGACTCAATCTCAAACCACGGAGTTAATTATAAGGTAGTTAATTTAATTGCATTCAATAATTTGCTTTGGCATTTAGGTGACTATTACACTGCGCATTCCACGTCGGCCAGATATTGGTGATAAGTACAGTAGTCGTCATGGACAGAAGGGAATTAACAGTATTTTGGTCTCACCTTCTGATTTACCATTCTCTGCAAATACTGGAATGATCCCAGATCTTATCTTCAATCCTCACGGTTTCCCAACTCGTATGACAGTAGGCATGATGATTGAATTTTTAGCCGGTAAAACTGCGGCTTTGACAGGTAAGCCAAGGCTAAAAGTAGCTTCATTGCATATCATATTGGAAATGTGGATCGATTGTGAAGGCCACAGCGATTTTGCTTGGCCCCCGACCTTTTGACTTTTAAGATTCATCAGCTCTTAATGCAGAGGTGCTAAAGAGGAATTTATGTAGGGGGTAGTTGGTATATTGGTCTGTGTGCCCGCGATTGATTCTCGAACCCACTACTTTACCCTACTTCCAATTTCTCAGTATCAATGTTTTTTGCAAATTTTTGAAATTACTGGATACAAATCTTGGTGGATAGTAAATTCACTTTAATTGAGCTCAAGTTTACACTATTGCGAATTCCTTTAGCAATGAGTGTTATGAGCAGGTATTAGCTCATTACTTCTAATCAGTGATCTCCAGTGTGAATAGAAAGAAGGTTTGCACCTATCTGTACGACCAGAGTCAATACTTTTAATCGATTCCCTCAACAGAACCAGCTTATCTTTATCGCATTTCGTTAAAATTATGAATTCACCTCCCAATCCTAGGCCGTTGGTTGGATCCAACTTGATAATCGTCGGAAATAGCCTTTGATTATAACGGATGAAGCTTTTATTGGGTGGAAGGAATTAATCTTCATAGGCTCAGATTTATGCAGGAGTGTGTATGTTGAACAGATTTTTATGTGAAGTTTAAAAAGTCGAGGGGGAAAGGCAAAGGAAACGTGCAAGCAGGTAAGCGATAAGCGATGATTGCATATGCTAAAACTGCAAACAAACTTAATCATTGATTGTAGTCAGTGTTACGCTATTTCGCATGGAATGATTGTCGAATGGTTTGGTGGTTTCTGCACCCACTGCTGCAATTTTCGGAATGTTTTATCACGGTGGAGGCTCCTTTAATCGGTGTTAATAATGCTATTCCACAGAATTATTCTAATTATTAAAATAAATCGCTTCAGGTCACAGCGGGGTTACGCAGCACTGTTTAAAGAGGTAATTAGGAATTATAGATAGGTTATGACAAGACCAAGATAGGATTGGGTCTTCAAACATACAGTGATTGATGATGACAGACAGTAATTGAGCTCTATTTTCGCCTGTGATGCCCTTGTCAGTTTTGATAATTGAATTGTAGAACATTAGAGTTGCCTATAAGCCCACATTTTGCGGTTTCTACGTCCAAATACGATGCACATTTTTTTAAGCATTTCAGTTCCAATACATCCATAATTGAATGTGGGAAGGACCATTTTTATTGGTTTGGAAGTGGAGATTAAGATGTGATAATGGAGTAGTAGTAAACTGAAGAGGGTGGTACTAGGACTATTGGGAAGGAATTGATTTTATTATTTCAAATTCACAATAATCTACTGAATTTCAGGCAAGTTTATCGACGCCACAGCCTTCCAATGGAATGAGGAGTTCCCGCCCTACACTGATTACGGGGAGTTGTTGGAGCAGTTGGGATATGATTATCACGGGTGTGAGACAATGATATCCGGAATTACTGGCGGACCTATTGAAGCTCACATCTACATGGGTACCGTCTATTACCAACGTCTGCGCCACATGGTTGCTGATAAATTTCAGGTTTGTTGGATTTTTGTGCCTGTCATACGCGAAAGTGTCAAATGCATGGTCGCTGTGACATATGCCCTATTGGTTCTTTACCAATTGTCTTGATTGGAACCGGCGATATATCTCTCTTTATTAATTACGTAAATCCAAAAAGTGAATACGAAATAATCCAGGAATGGCCCCAGTCAGTTATTAAAGTTTCCATCTCCAAGTTAATTACCGCTTGTGTTTTGGTGTTATTTAATCCCAAATTGGAGTAAAACATTTCGTCTAATGAAAACTCTGCTGAAGTCAATTGTTGGCCCTTTATCATCCATTGCGAGTTAGATGATGAATTACCCCTTTTTTAGAATTTACCTGACAACTTTCGATTTCCTCTAAAAGATCTCCCGAAGTCTTTATTTTAACGAGTGCTAATGCAGCAACTTCACTTAGGTAATGGTGGTATTCTGACCGGGTCGGCTGAACATGTATTTTTCATGAGGACGGTTTCACACTGGATGTTGTGTAACGATTGGCGTCGACTTTCCGACCTCTAACTTGTGACAGACATGTGCGTTGATCACTCTCCCACCGGTGCACATTTACACCTTGGTTTTCATTGCACTAAGGTTCGTTTTATAAAGCCGGGGTCAATCATATCCTATGCAAAAATTTTTCACAGATAGGAATTCTGAAGAGATTCCAAATAGTCTGGAAATATTGATTCATCTTTTGCGTTCTCTATTTCTTCTAGGTGCGTGCTGAGGGTCGTTACGATCCCGAGTTTCGTCAGCCTATCAAGGGTCGCAAAGTGGGCGGTGGTATTCGTCTCGGTGAAATGGAACGTGATTGTCTCATCTCTCAGGGCCTCTCCTTCACTCTCCATGATCGTCTCGTTAGCTCCAACTGCGATAGAGTCAAAGTAAGCGCCTTTGGTCGACACTATCGTGTTCACCCCCTCCTCCCCCCCCCCCCCCCCCCCCCCCCCCCCCCAATTGCATCGCACTTACACAAAGTGGTGGTGGTGGTGGAGCGGGGGGGGGGTCAAATCCTAACCTTGTTACAAGACAATTATTAACTTGAGTTATATTTTGTAGTTTCCATCTTCTGAGTACCTTGTCACTTCTCTCGTTAACCAGCAGAAGAATTTTATCAGTGAGGGGAAAGAGTTCTCACACTGTGGTGCAAGAGTCCCTGTGTTTATAGGTGCAGATTGCTTGGCCAATTTAAAAATAGATTTTCTGAATCAAATTATTTTCCACATCTCTTCCTTTTTTAGCTTTCGATCCCTTATGTATTTAAAGGTTCAAATGATTTTTACGCCTAGAATTCTGAAGCAAGGTTACTATGCCTTTGTCTATGTGGTTAGATTGGACGAACACCCTATAATTATGTTAGTGGTAGTTAGGGTAGTGGCATCATTTTGCACTGCAATTGGCCCAGGTTTAATAGACTTAATTGAATCAAGATGCGGGTACACTGGGCAGTTCTCTCTGGGTATGGTGATGGCTGGTCAGTTGTTAGGCTGCCGTTTTATCTGATGTTCTGTTTTTTTCGTCACTTAGATTATGTTAGGACCCTAATGCTTAAGTCTGGGTTGTCCAGGTTTATTTATATGGACAAGTTTCAAATATATCTACTTAAATTCTGTAGTAGTAGTTAAGTAAATCAGGTGCTATCATAGTACAAACCAGGTCCTGTGGATTATTTGAAGTCTCACTCTCTATTAGTTATGCCACATTTTCCCATACTTCCTCTATTCTAATCGCCTTTTCCTCGAATTTGTAGATGTTTGTATGCTCCAATTGCAGTGGCATTATTCACGCAGATCTTATGAATAAGAACCGGCCAAATGCCCCCAATACTACCACTCACCACCAAGATTCATGGAATCCTTCACACTGGCGTTGTCGACTTTGCAATCAAGGCGAGGGTAATGAACCATCCTCCACGGGTAATAAGTTGTCCCTTGTGGAAGTTCCCGCCGTCTTCCGTTATCTCACCTATGAACTCGCCTGTTTGAATGTTCAGACTAAATTGGATGTAAAGGACGCTACTTAGTTGAGATTTGGATGTAAATGCGCGCTTTGACTTTGTATAAATTATGGTATCTTTGGCATAAATCTTAATGTACCTCGGCTCTTTACGAAATCAATGCGTTTTTTGGCAAGACCTGATAAAATAGACACTAGACTATGAATGTACCGAGCTATATCGATTTTTTTCTAGTGAGATGCACAAATGAATTAGAGGTGAATGATGAATTCGAACATTATGTTAAATGATAAAAAAAAGAATTAGAGATTGATGATTTTCCTAAGGTAAATAGGGGCTTGGTTGTTGTGCCTGCGGGCCCGGGTTTGCTTATTTATGAAGGGGGG